AAGGCCAAGGAGCCTAGGGGCTAAAGACAGATCCTGGTCCGGCTCCACGGAGTGAAGCCATCATTCCTACAGCCAGAAGTTTGAGATCCTTCCAGTTCCCCCTCCCCAACACCCCCGGCCCCCACCGTTTCCCCTCACCCTAAGGTGCTGCTGGGTATGTGATCTGAGAACACACCACTGGCTTAAGAAGTATGTTTCTACTTTTCCTAAGAAATTTATAGTCTCTGTCAACTGAGTAGATGAAAAGTGTTGGCATTCAGGTCTCCAGAGAAATCCAGCTGGACAAGTCTCTCCCTGGACAAGCTCAGCTCAGCAAATTCTATGAAGTAAGGAACTCGACGTCACAGGAGAAGGCCTAGTAGATCATTTAACAGTGTTGCTTCAGGTGGCTAACCAGAAACCCGCTTTAGGAAGAGTAGTGTGTATCTGGTCAGAATCTTCTGGAATGACATTGGAAAAACAACTTAATGCATGTCCCCTGCTCTACTTCCCTCATTTATATTTGCCAACCTGCTTTTCCTAAACTCATGAGAAATTGGCTCTGACCAGGCCAACCCAGGTCAGTTCATTCTAATTGCAACTGTCCTAATTGTCTGCTGTGATTGGAGCAGGACAAGTGACCACAAAGACTTGGCTTGAAGCCCCTAGTGACAGAATTCTTCCAAAGAGTGCGCTGGAATCTGGAACCTAGAACCTGTGGAAAGTTAATAGATGACTTGTAAATAGGGGCTGTGTGTTCAAGTTATTTTGGAAGTGTGTGTTGGGTTAATCAATGGCAAACAAGGTTCTTGATGATGGCACCCTCAGAACCTTCATGTGTCGTACCATTTTACTTAGGGGATACAGTATTTTTTAAGCTGATTTTTAAAAATTCCCATAAGGTGTCAAGATTTTTGAGCAATATTAACTGAAGAGCCATTTTCCCATTGAGAAATTCCATAAGTCTTGTGAATATCACAAGATAGAACGTTTTGCCATGGTATGAGGATTTGGAGTTTCTAATACAGTTACCATAGCCACCTGGAGCTATCAAACTCATGGATCTGGTTGGTGTGGCTGAGGAACTGGATTTTAAATTTTATTTATTTTTCAATAATTTAAACCCAGCCACGTGTGGCTCATGGCTCCTGAGTTGGGCAATGTGGTCTAGAATCTGATATATCTTGTTCAAAGGATGTTAGTAGCACATGGACTCTTCCAGATATCCCTGAGCCTCACAGTGATATGTGGAGCTGGGAAGTGGCCTTTTGAGTTTTCAGGAGTGTGAAAATTTAAACTTTCAAGCATGCATTTATTTTTCCATCTAATATTGGCCCAAGACATCTTTTGCTTTCTTTCTTTTCAAATAGCAGATCCCAACACAGGGCATTAGTTCTCATCAACTTCTTCTTCACTTTTCCAGATAGTCTGATCCACCATAGGGAAATACAGGGACATTCAAGCCTTGCCACACAAATCCTGAGCCAGGGACAACCTGTGTCTACCTTGCCTTCTACTACAAAGAACTCCACCAAGACAAATGTTCCTCTGTGGTTGGGCTCAGCTACATTCTCTACATACCTTGCCCATTCATCAAATATGGCTGTTTAGACATTTATTGCCGCACTCTTCTGTCCCCAAGGCTTAGTGCTACTTGGCACCCCCGCCTTTTCCTGCTAGAGCTTCGAATCACACTGCTTCTGCTGGTTGGCACTAGATGAAACTGTTACATGCAATCAAATGAAGGGAAAACTTGAACACTTTGGAGAACTTTTCCCAGTAAAGAAGACAGCACTTCTGTTCCATTTATAAGGGGAAAATAGTGAGCAGGGGCAGTGTGGCACTTTGGTTCCAAGACCTGTAAATGCGGAAGGTGTGAGGAAGAAGACTTGCAAGAAGAATATTCTCCCCCCTCATCTCAGGCTGTGGTCAAACAGCTTAGAAGCTTCACAACCGTTCTTTCTCTTGTTGGCTGATCTGGTTCCAGGACATTGCAAAAGATTTATTTACAATCGCCCAAAGAGCCAGAATAGCCTCACCTTCATCTAGGAAATAATAGCTGTTTTGTGCTATTTCGTTCAACAACAGTGATTCATTATGTAGCACTAGGCCTTCCCTGATACTTGTAACTGTCAGGCAGATTTCCTATGGCTTGTTCTCACACAATAGACCTATTTTGTCAAATTAAACCTAGAGATGTGTAATTATCTGCATGTGCAGATAGGAGTGTACTGACCTAGACATATGTATGGACTCAAATGTATTTATTAGTACGTGCTTCCACCATGATATCATTCTAAAATGTTTCTTGTAGCTATTGTAGGAGTCTGCATGGAAAGATTCATTCCCTTGGTCACCTACACGAGATTGATAGTCAGGGCTTGAAGGGAGCATGGCTTCTGTTGAAATGTACACAATTACTACTCTCCAGGGCATAGAGGTGAGGTCTGCTGCTCTAGTGCCAGGGGGGAAATAAAAGAGATATCTGGTGTTTCCAATCTCTGATCAACTAAGACAATTATTTTGCATACCATCTTCATTGTGAATGTGTTAGTAAAATAGAGGATTATCATATTCACCTATGAGAATTTAAGTCATGCTCTCTCTTGTCTGTCTCTTTTTTTCATCCTTTGGACACAAATGTGCATCCTGTGAAACAGAAAAAAAGACACATCAGCCTTCTATCACATATTCAGGGCTCCACAGATTTCCCTTAGCTAATTACATGGGTGAGCCTTAGATTTGGAATTTGACTCATTTTATTACAAAATAAATTCTTTTAACCTACAAATGATAAAGTACACCACATTTTGATTTCTCAGTCTTCATTTTGAGCGAAAATAGGACAAATTATATGTTATAAGATAAGCTACTGATTTCCTATCATATATCAAGAAATTTGTTTCACAGTTCAAGATGAGAAAATAATTTTGTAGCAAAACAAGCTATCTGTTTTTAAGTAAAAACCTATCAGAAAATTTCAAATCACTAATAAATCACTTGCCTTTTTCTGATTTTATCCAAAGTGTATCTGGCACTCAAGACTAGCAACCAAATTTCTGATGACTTATGGATTCTCAGTGGTGCTTAAAAACTCTTAAGCTTATAAGTAAATGTGGAATTTAGCTTGTAAAGATATTTTCTGTTTTAAATAATATTTCTTTAAATGTGGAATTCAGCTTGTAGAGATATTTTCTGACCTAAATAATATTGCTTTGCCACATAGTGGTTTGTCTAAAAGAATTATCTAAATGGATCCAGGTCTAAATTAAAAATCATAACCACTATGGATGCAGCAAAAAAGGGTAAATCAGGTAATTTTTTGATGAAATTGAAATGCAATACTAATGTAGACCTATGTTTTCCAAAAAACAAACATTAATTATAAAAATAGTCTTCCTCTATTTTATGTGTGCTTGAATTTTTTCTAACAGCTAGGCAGCTATCAGTAAGAAAGGCATATGGAATTTTCAAGATCTTTGTATTTTTGCATGTATTCATTCATTTGTTTATTTTTTCAAGTTGATGGACTAGGGCAACTGTAGTTACTCTGAAGCACATACGTTTAAAAAAATTCTCAATATTTTAAAAAAGGTCTCAAAATTCAGCTTGATTGCAAACTTAATGAGTCAACAGTACAATGAACAGCCAGAAGAATTAATGTAATCACTGTTTGCATCAATGACAATGTTTCCATGAAAATTGCATCAAATTCCCAAGTTCGGCCTAGAATAATGAGCTCATTTCTGGGCAGCATGTTTTCAGAAGGATGCTGACAAATGACAGCATTTTCAAAGAAAGACTGAAATATTGAGAGTCACAAAAACCATAACATACAGAAACCAGGATACAGAAACTTTATAACACAGGTTGGGCATATGTGTTTGTCTGAATGGGTAAATGTCTTCAAATATTTGAAAATTTGTATATGGAAAATGTTGTACTTACAAAGGGTAGAACTGACATCAAAGGTGAAAAACTCCAGGAAGTTAAATTTCCTTTGATCGTAAGAACTTTCTAACAGCATATAAAACAGCAATGAATTGGAATATTTCCATAGGAATTTTGGAGAAAACTATACATGAATTTCCTCTGAATTGCAACTATAATATTTTGTAAAAGAAAATGAAGACTTAAATCGGACAAGCAATTGGTTTGGCTGCCTTGAGTGTCTCTTCTTGTCTTATACTCTTTGAAATATCTGTTGAGCATCTACTGTACTCTTTCTGCTCCCCACCCCTGGAACTTAATATAGTAGACTAGTTCAGGAAGAGTGAGAAAATATATTTGTAAATTGCTCCTTTGAGTGACATTGTGAACCCATAACATGCTGGAACCTCTGAAAGTTCAATGACAAAAATCAAAGATGTGTGATCACTGCTTAAGCAAACAGAGAGAAATTATGCAGAGGGAAATGCATATTATTTATTCCAAAATTCATTGTGCAGAGAAAGAAATTAATTGGAGGGAGAAGGAGAGACCCTGGGAAACCCTGTATCAATTATTTTCAATTTATATGAGTGGAAGGGTATTATCAATGTTCTGGGGATTTACAGTAGTTGGAAAAAAAAAAACGTGCGTCGATTTGCAAGGAACATGTTTGAATCTGCTGACTATGGTTCCACAATAGCTTTAAATGTGCTGGGTCAGAAATAGCCTGGTGAAGGGAGTTGCCAGATTTCAGCAGACTTTGAGGCCCTGGGCTCTGTATTGTTCTACCCTTTAGTTGTCATTCATGCCTGCTGCAGCAGGAATATCATAAATGGTTTCCTGTGAGTCAGATTTTAGCTAGGTTCAGGGTTGCTGTTTATAGCAGCCACGATTCTGCACCTATTTTCTTGAATGAGTACCTTGCTTTCATTTTTTTTTGTGTGTGTGTGGACTTCACTTTTGACTTTGGGACCATTTTTCATCTCGATCAGGGCCCTGGTTTTCCATCCTCCACCCTCTTGCAGCTTGGAATTTTGTGTCTTCTCTAGGTTGTGATAGTTTAACTTTTAACTTTGACTTGCTCAATTTCTTCCTATCCATGATCAGACTTAGACTTTGATACATGCCAGTTTCACTAATCCACTGCTGTGCTGGGCCTGGTTGTAACTCTTCCTAGAAATGATTGGATATTGTAGATATTAATTTAGAGGTTTTAAATCAAAGGTATCTCAACTAACATGCACTGTCACCTCCTAGGAACCTGGAATAGGTAAGGCTCAGCTTTGAGAATAATATACCATGAAGATGTACATTAGGATTTTGGGAAAATATGCACCTTGTTACTCAAGAAGCATATCCTGAATAGACAATGTGCTAAGATTTATGGTAACCAGTGAGAAAAGTATTTGGATAGGGAAAACTTCCTGGTCTTAGGGAACATCTTACATTAGGCTCATTAAAACACGGGCTTCATTTCTCAGTCCAATTTACTAGAATTTTTATAATTGCTTTACCTCTATTTGCACTGTACTACCCTCATTTCCCTTTTTCTTTTCATACAGAACTGAAATTTCTGCCACTCTTCATGTGCTGAAGCTTGCCTCCTCTTTGACCTTTGAGTCCCCTAAAAATCCATTTGAGGTAAGAAAAGCATCTTCAACTGGAGTTTAAATATGGGGGTGTGCAGGTGGTAAATCACACACAAAAAGCATTTGACAAAGCAATTTATCACTTAATTTTTTAAAGACATATATATTTCAAGTGAATTTAATTTGCATATTTTCTGACTCATTTCCATGCCATTATCCTAAGCTCTTTTTAAAGAGTTGCTACATTTTTACATTTTCAGAAGAGGCATTTATGTCATCTATGACTTCCTAACCTTTGCTTCTGGAATTTGACTATCAGAAAATTCTTTCTTTGTCTAATCTCAATGCTTCAGTCATCTTCTAGAACCATGAGGAAGGAGAGAAAGCAAAGTCCAACTGGGTTTTTCTTCTCTCTGAAAAGTCACACTATTGCCTGTGACCTTTGATTCTAGGGTTTTCATTAAAATTCCTTCATCATTTAGGGCCCATCTCTGAGTACTCTGATGCCAGAGACTGAGTTCTTTGAGTTCTTACACACTTCAGACAAAGTTGTTATTTTAGTCCTAGCATTTTAAACACACACACACACACACACGTGTGTGTGTGCGTGTATATATATATATATATATATATATATATTCTTATATATTTTATATATATAATATATAAAATATATAAGTATATATATATATATCATATATAAGAATAATCCCATATATAAGAATAATGCATGTTTATAGAGAAATTAGACTTGATTTCTAGAAAAAACTCTGGTTAGAAGTCAGTAGCTCTTTAATTTCATTTCTTGTCTCTCTTTTTAACAACAAAATGTTCTGAAATAAAGTACCTTAATGCTTCATGGACTTGATCTTCATCAGCAAACTAAAGATTGAATTAGAAAGGAAAATGCTCTGGCCCATAAGCTTCCATGATTCATTGGTTCCATAAAAGAGCGCACTGCTGAAGGCATTTGAAGCCAGGCAGGCCTCTGGGTTGGGTGCTGAGCCATGACTGGGGACAGAGCACAGAGCTGGTATCTGTTCTCCCTTTTGGTCTCAATGCTGGGTATGGCTTGTCAGCTGCTGCTTATTTTCCCTGCTCAATCTTTTCTTATCAGAGGCAGAAGGCATAAAGGATGCCATCTGGGATTGCTTGTTTAGATACAGTGTGGTGTTAACAAGTTTTCCTCTCTCTTACTCTTTCTTGTTTATTGCTGGTTGCAAGGATCAGCCATACACATGGCCAAATGCCGTCATTTCTTCTTCATGAACTTCAGGGGCAAAGGGAAGGGGAAGACACAGGCGCAGGCTGTGAAAAAGCAAGAGGGGAGGTGAGAAGCACTGGGCCATGGGGGAGCTTCATATTCTGCAGCACCTAGAGGAGTTTCAAGGTCAAGTTATTTAAAACTGAAAGAAAATGTACCAAATCTCATTGACACCTTCTCTAGGAGTAACAGGTGTGTGTGTGTTCCTTAGGATCTGGAGGCTGATAAGAACAGGACACTTCTTAACCTTGTTAAGAGAGTTTGAGTTTACAGAATGATACAGCATCAACAGCATGAGTTTCAGAGTCACACAGGATTCAAAGCCAATTTTTGCCACTTGTGAGCTGGTGCAGGTTGCTGTGACTGCCCTGCCAAGATTTCATTTACCTGGATGTTGTACCTGTCCCCAGCTGCTGGGAATATTGGCTGCTAATATGATCACAATTGTCTCATGCTTCAGACAATTTTTCCTTGGCAATAATGGAAAATTCTCTCTTGGAATCCCAAGACTATCAGCCTGGTACAAAAGGCCTGTCTCCATATACTCAGGTGGGACCAAACCATGGAGTTCTTTGTGATTCAGGGCTCCTTTAGGATGAAGTGGACTTCAGCAGAGGCCCCAGACTTCCCCTAAATGACTGCTTTGGCTCTGCTTTTAGAGAACTGACCAGAGATACTAGGTAGATTTGTGATGTAATTTAGCTTCTCTCTGTTAAAACATAGTTTATGATATTGCTGATCTTATGATCTTGTTTTAGATATAATTGTTCTCACAGTGCTTAGTGCAATACTTGGCACATGGTATAGCTATTGTATCAGTTACATTATTGCCTATATTATTGGCAACATGAGTTGGATATTCCTATAAAGTGATACCTTCTAAAACATAGGGAACATTATATAAAATGCTTGTTACTTCTATCCATTGCAATGAGAATATTCGTTATGGCATGAACACCCTGACTCCTAATTAGACTTTTTATTTTAGGGGAACAATTTCAACTGAGTCACAGGAATAATCTTGATTCCCAGCACCCAGCCCTCATGTTACAATGTGATGTGTCTGTGGACTGTGTTGCTCTGTGTGCTACTAGCTGCTGGCAGTTGTTGCTACTTGTGCAATGGAAAGCATTGCTCTTCTCAGACAGAAAGCATATATAGATATATATCCACACTGCTAGTGTCTAAATTAAGAAATGTAAAAGCCAATTCATGTAAGCCAGCAGGCGAAACCAACAACAGAACCGGCTGGGAAAAGAGCACACCTCCCCGATGTGGACCCCTCTGTGGTGCCTCTCCATTGTAATTGTGCCTCTCATTGTAAATCCTGAGTCCTCTCCAAATTGAACACTGGGAACTGCATGGCACCTGGGAGTAGATGTTCATGCAGAACACAGTTAATGGAGTGAAGGTCAAAGAGGTAAGGAGACACTGACCTGTTACTTGAATCCTTGGGTAGATGCAGATTTCAAAGTGTGGCCAAGTTTGCCAATCAAGAGACCCATACAGAGGGATTTTGATGCTCATTGCAAAAGCTCTTTTGCAATTTGTGGCATTAGTGAAACCCACCTACAATCTACCAGCTGTTATGGATATCTTACTAGGGGCCCTTAACTCCTGGGCAAGAGAAGTTACAGTTATTCATTCATTCACTCACTCATTCATTCATTCATTCATTCATTCATTCATTCAATTATTACAGTTCTTCTGATCAGTGTACTCCAACTATTCTGCTACTTGCTTAGCAGGAAAATGAACTTCTTTTAGATCATCAGCATTGCAGAACAGCACTACTAATGCCCAGTGTGCTACTATCCCCTGAAGTTGAATTTTCATGCCCCAGGGAATTCTGCTGACTTGAATGAACTGTATACAGCTGGATTAGAAACTTCTAAGACAGGGGAGTTTTTTATCAACTGACTTGCTCTCATGGTGCATGGCACATAATAAGTGTTCGGTTGACACAGACCTGAGTTGGTTTCCCAATCCATTTATGATTTCTGGAGGAATTCACATAGGCATGTACTAGATAGAGTTCAACAAAAGTAAATCCATGGTTCGCTGGCTTATCTTCAGCAACGTCCGTACTGCGATGCTGAGTTGGAGCAGGGTCTGTCTTACTTTACTAAGGTTTTCATAACAAATTACCACAAACTGGTGGCTTGAATAAACAGAAACTTGTGCTTTCAAATGCTAGTGGCTGTAAATTGAAAGTCAAGGTGTTGGCAGAGTTTCTTCCAGAAGCTCTGAGGGAGAATCTGTCCCCTGCCTCTTTCCTACTTTCTGGTGGCTGCTGGAATTCTTAGCATTCCTTGGCCTCTAGTTGCTTAACTCTGGCCTCTGCCTGTCTTCCTCTGCTCTCCCCTCTGTGTTTCTTCCCTCCTTTTCTTCTCTCATAAGGACCTTTGTGATTGGATTCAGGGTCCACCCCAAACCCAGTAGTACTTAAGTTTCTTAACAATTACAGTTGTGAAGAGATTTTCCCAGTAAAGTCATGTGAATAGGTTGGACTTATCTTTTGATATAGTTTCCTAAAGTTTCCAAGTGAATCACTGCGAGGTGGTTGTCTAGCCAATCACAGATCCAATCTCCGGAATCAACCAAGGACTACTGTGGGGACAAATAGGAACTTGGAAGGAATGAGTCACATAAACATTTGAACAGGTATTGACATCCAGCCAATTGATTGTCTCCTTGTAACCTAAGACTATAACTGATCTAGTTTTTAGCTATATCATCCTGTCTTTTATTCTCATTTTTGTTTCTTGGTTTTCTTGTTCCAGTGGCACAATGATGAGTATTTGGAAGGATTGTTCTGGAGAATTTCTCTAATTCTCCAAAGCAGAGGAATTTTTAATTTCACTCCTTATTCTTCTCCTTTCCCTAATATTCTGATCAGTGTCTTTTCTTTTCATGTCTTTTTGCTGTTGAAGCTATTTGTGAACTCTTAATGTTAAGCAAAACATTACCTCCGTATTTCCAATCTCTCTAATAAACTATGTTTTAGGCACCCACCTAAATTCCTATTAAGGAGATACTGAATCCTTCTTACATGAAAACAGAATTTCAAAGCAGAGCAAAAAGGAACTTTCTTCCTATTCTTTGCATATGCTTCTTATCAAGAATATATACTTCATAGTAAAAGAAACAAACCAAAAAAATCACATTGCCAAGAAAGCCCATTGTGTTTCTTTTCAAAACCTGGTTTGAGTAAACTTATGTGTGAATTGGATCTGAAAGGAAAGTAACTCTTTTTTAATGAAATGTGTCTGCTGATGTGTCCAGCAGCTACCAACACCAGAACAAAAATTAGGTGATAACCAAAGCCTTATACCTGCTAGGAACCTCTGAGCCTGAGCTACTCTTGATCAATTTGACCTGTTACATGATAGCTGAACCCAGAAGAAATTGATGGGGAAATTTTGGAGACAAGGTTTTCTCCCAGAGGGTATCTGTCACCACTTGCTCAGGTTTTATCACCTTGGAAACTCTGCCAGGATGGGGCACACCCAGGTCTGAGCTGATGGGCTGTGCTCTGTCCTCTTGTTTGTCAGGAGCAAACTTGATCATTTTAGTGATCTTAAACCTAACCCTCTTTCTACTCACTCCTTCAAATCTGGTGGATAAAAGATACAAACCTTGATTTTCTCTTGAAGCAGACAGATGATTGTGTCTTGCTCTTTGCTTTAAAATGTGGATGAAATCAGTACTTCTTGTTACTCTCTTTCTGTACTCTCTCCTCTCTGGCACTCCTCCTGAGCCCATTTTAAAAATTTTCTTAAGCCAAGGTACATTTTACATTTTATGTTCCATCTGCCTTTAAATTTCTACCTTTGAACAGAGCAAAGTACCCTAGCAAATATTTCACAAAGTAAGACAGGGTTGGTTAAGATCTACTTTTAGCTGAGCATCATTCCCCCCCCCCCCCTTAAAACTCCTTCCAGAGCCAAGGAGAGGTATGTTTCATAAGTAAATTCCTCATATTGTGTTATTTTCACAATTTGGATTCAGAGTTGCCTCTGAGATTATCCGTGCCACATGAATTCCGACTCCTGTAAGCCCTCATTCTTGGGGGATGCATGTTTATTCACTAAGTAATTCTGTTCCTTTACATCAGTGTGTTTGATCCCAAATGATATCTGAAAGACCAATTTGTACACATTTCCTCAGGCCACCTGGGAGTAAGTATGAAGAGAGAGAATTTATTTTCTTGGTTTCCCCTAGTCCTGCTGCTTGCTTTCATTAGATATGTAGGCCATGAGACATTATGAAGCCCACGCGTGTTTCAGAGTCACAGAGATATGCCTCCTTTGGCCCATCAAGAAAGCTCTTTCAGAAATGTGTTCTGAGCCCTTTGACAAACTTTGGGCATCATAAACTCCTGCTGCTTTTCCTCTCTTCCCTCCCCCTCAGCACTCGCTCCCCTGGACACCCTCTCTCTTACAGCGAGTTCCCTGTTTTTCGCTGAGTCACAGCAGCTGGCTGGCACCTCCAGGGTCATACTGTACGTAACACAGAATCCTCTCTGTTGGCTACCATGGTGCTTCAAAAGAGGGCTGTGGCAGCCACAGAAAAGCATCCTGGGTACTCCAGCCAGCCCTCCTTTGAAGCCCTGAAGCAAGAGGCTGGCAGAAGGAGCCTGGGACGGCTCAGGGATCCAAAGTTCCTGGATAACATGGCTTCACTGAGTCCCAGGGCCCTGCTGCTGCTGAGATGCTGCTCAGAAGCAAGCCCTTAAGAAATTCAGAACAGAATCCAGACGGACAGAAGCAGAGTCATATGGCCTCTCAAAGCCAATGGCTGCCAGGAAACAGTCTTAAAACTGCCAGAGCCTTGGCAAAAGGCCCCGAGCTGTGCCAGGGGGTGAACAGTGGGGTAGGAGTGGTGGCCACACTCTCCTTTTCCAGTCAACGGGATTGTGCCTGGGCAGGGACGAGCACATACGGAAGCCCGATGAAACAATACATCACTTCTCTCCTGAAAATAAATGCTGGCCTGTTGAAGTGAAATGTATGTCCTAACCAGGTGGAACGGTACAGATTTTCATGGTTAAAAACAGGATCTTCTGGCTTTCAGATACTGAAAACTGGACTGCTCCCAGCTTCCCAAAACTGTCTGAAGGCTGACTATCTTACAAACCGTAGCTCCTCCGGCCCTCATGCTGATTTATTTGTTCTTTCTATCGTTTCTGTATTATTGATCCCTATCTGATTCTTATTCTATGAAACAATATTCTTTTATAAATATTTTATAAACAAATATGATCGTGATGATATCTAAGCCATGCAATGCTCTTACTGCATGTCACTGGAAGAATATGTGTAGATGAATTTAATAGTATCTTAAAGGTGTGTGCATGTGTGCTAGCACACTCTCCTTGGCCTCAAAGTAGACACAACCGGAGAAGAAATTGATCCTAAATGGAAAATTTCAAATCACTAAGAAGCCCTGTGTCACATTCAAAATGAGGTTTGTAAAGAAAGTTAAATGATTTAGTCTTTGCAGCTGTACCTTCTACACAAACACTAAGCGGTGGAGAATTTTAAAAGATAAAATGAGGGCAGGCCGCAGCTGTTTCTTGTAGCTTCATGGAGACATTAATATAAACTTATAAAGCCGGATTATTTACTATCAGATCCACGGTATATTCACAAAGTAAAGCAAAATTCAAAAAAATATGGAAGAAAAGCACATCCTCTTAATGCATTTACCTTTTTATTTTTCAATTAAAGAGGCTCAGTGAAATATAGGAGATGAGATATTTCACCTTGAAAGCCAAACTTTTAATTAGGCTTTTTTTTTTCAGCTGTCAATGCCAAAGAAAGCCAAAGTTCAGCGAAAGTATCCCTTAGACGACAGTGACTAGCAAAGGAAAAAAGTGACATTTGAAATGAACCCCTGAGGAGTTATTAGTAATTGCTCTTCTGAGAAGGTAACACCTACACTATGTGACAGAACAAGTTCATCTTGGATTCAGCATGTTAAAATATTCTTATTCCTGGGTAAGCCGTTTTTTAATAAACAAAATAAATTATAATTGATTTGCTAGAAGCCAGATAATTTATCAGTGTAACAGATGCACATGTTTTAGAGAATGTGGCCAGCCTATACTTATTTTAAAATTCTAAACCTAACCCTCTTTCTACTCACTTTTTTGTTTTTGTTTTAATTCCTCATAGCAAAATTCTTTGTTTTCCTTTCAAACATAAAGAACCTGCTGGTTTAGATGCAGGATATGAAATGACAAAACAAAAGGCAGCAAAAGCACATTTCTTATACTGAGGCGGCTTTCTGTTAAGAAGTGGAAAGCTACATATAGAACAATACATAACATGTGTGTTAGATCAATAATAATGGTGACAAAGGCCACATTGAAAGACGATGACTTATCTGTGTATGGGGTGAAGGTGGGAGTTCATAACCCACTTGAATCAAAGTGTGGAATATGATATGTCATGAAATTTGTAATGTTTTGAACAACCCACAATAAAAAATTAAAAAAAAAAAAGAAAGACGATGACTTTGTGAAACAATAGTTGCTGATGAAAAGAGACAAAGAAAGATAAATTGACTATAATGCCATGAATTGCTTCACTTGCCCTGATGAGATAGGTGTGAAATCCAAGTTATTAGTCCAAAAATGTCAGAATACTATAGATCAACCAAGAACTTGTAGTAGAGTGTTAGACACATAGTCTTCACCTAAATCCATATGGTTTACAGATAAGCCCTCTCCTGATATTTGCAGAGCCTGGAGGAGGGGTACAAATGATGGCCCACTTCCCATGGACCTCCATGTTTAAAAATTTAAGTGAAGAATTGGTTAAAATATGTTCTAAATACACCTCCTGACAAATTTGTTTCAGAACATATGAAAGGGCATGTTCAAATGCAGAATTCTTAGAAGCCCTAGAGACTTGTTGTCCAACTTCGTGAGCTGGTCCTGGATCATCCCTTGGTCTTACCTATTCCTTGATTTCCTCCCACACCATCAGGGGCTTATACCTCAACCTGTAAGTCTGATATCTGAACATCCAGTGGCCAACCCTTTGGCAAAAAGCAAAAGAAAAAAGTCAGCCAATGGCCAATTCACTGATTTTGAGGTATCCATACCAGGATGGAGCCCATCTCTAGGAAGATAGGCCCAGGGAAAAGAAGCATTGACTAGACATGGAACTTTGGGGAGGAGAAATGACATCACCTAGTAATGCAGTCTCCATCTTTCAATACACTTTGATTTATTCCTAGAGTATTAACTGAGGTTGCTTTCATTTTTGGAGCACTGGTTGGGTGTAGACTTTTTTGTTTTTTGTTTTGTTTTGGGGGTACCCGGGATTGAACCCAGGGGCACTTGACCACTGAGCCACATCTCCAGCCTTAATTTTGTATTTTATTTAGAGACAAGGTTTCACTGAGTTGCTTAGTGCCTAGCTTTTTGCTGAGGCTGGCTTAGAACTTGCAATCCTCCTATCTCAGCCTCCCAAATTGCTGAGATTACAGGTATGCACCACTGCGTCCAGCTGGTTGCAGATTTTAAGATAAAGAAGGCACAGTCCTAGTTCCATTTTAAAAGGTCCTTCTGGTCACTCTGAGGCAGTAGAAAGGAAAGAGAGTCTGCATGTACTCAAATGGCATGGTCTACTTCTTGTACATGCTGTCTCTCCTTCTGTATTTCTCTCTTGTTATTTAGTCTCCTGTGCTTTCTTCTAAACATCTTGATACAAACTCTTCATTCTTTTTTCCCCATCCTTACCATATCTGTATTGCCACTGACTCCTGCCCCCTCTTGTCTGCACTCCACTACAGGAATATTGTTAAAATATCTTGGGATTCTTCTTTCTGGCTTTCTTCAACAGACCCTGCATTATCACTTTGAAGCAAATCTTGGATTAACATTGGATTTAAAAAACTGCTCCTGATGTATCCTTGTTGCTCAGAACCATAGGATGGTTCCATTTACCCATGTAGTCAAAAGCCTGGTCTACGTGATTCTCCATAACCTGCTTGAAACCAACCAGAGGCCCTGACCTTCCACTATTTGATGGCATTAAATTCTTGAATTCCTGCTTTAAAGCTTTGTGTTTACAACACAGCTGAATATGCTATACCATTGTTTACATTTTTCCAGTGACTTAAAACTTGAGATGATACCCTTTGTTACCTCGATCAAGTTCAGATGTGTAACAAAGCCAGTAGTCTCCCTCTTGTCCCTGCCCATAAGTTCAACAGCAACATTCTTTATTATTCACACCCATCCTTTCCTCTAACCTGATTAAAATCCTCCCCAAACAGGCCTTCCTTCTTCAGCACATCCATGTTGAATAGAGCTACATTCCAAACTACTCTGGAATGTAGTTTTCCACCTTGTCGGCCTGCTGAACACCTACTTCAAGGAAAACAAAAATTGAGGCATGCTCAAAATTTCCTCTCTGGAAAAGCCTTCAAGTTGCATATAGCCTGAGTGAGGACTTTGTATCTCTATTATGGCATTAGCACACAGGGCCTAACAATATTTTACCATGGCATATGGTTCTTATAGCTAATGTGTCTTCCCCATCAGATATTGAAATTCCTGAAGTAAGAAACGAGTGTAATCTTCTTCATTTGTGTATTCTGAGAACATAGCACAGTACCCAGTACTTCAGTAATTAGATATTCGATAAATGTTTACTGAATGAATCTAGTAGTACTAGTTAAAGTTGTCGGGCATTGTTCTAAGCTCTTTATGTGTATTTTCTCACTTAATCCTCTGGCAAATCAGAAAAGAGACACTATTATTATTCTCATTTTGCAGATGAGGAAACTGAGATCACTGAGAAGATAAAGCACTTGTTCTGGCTCACACAGTGACAGGTGGAGCTAGACTATCTGTGAGCACAGACAGGCCAGCCGGCAAAAGATGCGACTGGAGGAGAGCGAAGCCAGGGTTATTTCTTCTTTTACTTGTGAATGACATTGTGCTTACCTTTGTGCATGTGTGTCTGTGTGTGATAACTCACTTTTATCTTTGTTTTATGTTTCCTTATTCCTACAAAGTCCATGTATTCCTTACAAACCCAGGATTGCCAGAGGCTGAGAGCCTAGATTGTCAAATTGCCTTCAGAACACAGATTTATCAATCATAGTCCTGATCCCACTTTTCTCAAACCTGTTTTAACATGAACCACAGAAGGTGGCAGGTATTTATGCTTGGTGTATCATGATGGCTGTCGATTGTCTAATACTTTTTTTTTTTAAGACCTTCTCTAACAGATTACAGTGTCCTTGAATAACTGAAGTGGAACTGATATATGTACGGTATTTTAAAGTGTATAATTTGATAAGTTTTGACATTCATATATATCTGTGAAACAATTACCACAATCAAGGTAGAACATGACCATAATTCTAAGGGTTTCTTAGGGCTCCTTTGTCGCCTACCGTTTCTTATTACCACATCCTCAAGCAACCACTGTTGCTTTTCTGTCTCTAGAAGTGGATTTGCATATTTATGTAATTCAACCCATATAGTGTGCATTGTGTTTTAACATCCTTCTTTTGCTCAGCATAATTACATGGGGATACATCTATGTTGTTGCATATCCATTCCTTTTTGTTGCTAAGTAACATTCCATTTTATGGCTTTATAACAAGTAGTTTATATATATATCTATATCTAGCTATATCTATCTATCTATATATATATATATCTATATATATATATCTATATATATCTATCTCCATGGGTAGACATTACATTGTTTTCAGTTAGACTATTACAGATAAAGTTGCTATGATAATTTGTGTACTAAAATTCATTTATAAGTCTTTTTATGGACATATATTTTAATTTCTATTGGGTAAACATCTAGGAGTGGAATGCCTTTTTAATTTTTTAAGAAGCTAATCGCTTTTGAAGTAGTTGTTCCATTTTTCTCACCCACCAGAAGTGTATATAATTCTATTTGTTTTGCATTTTTCAATACTTCATGTTTTTTTGAATAAAGCCATTATTGGATTGTACAGGCATGCTATACTGTCATTTTAAGTTTCCTTTTCTTGATGACTAACAAAGCTATTACCATTTCATGTGTTTACTATCAATTTATCTTCTTTGGTGAAATGTCGAGTAAAATATCTTCTCCCTTTTATTTGTATGTTACTTGTCTTATATCATTGAATTGTATGTGTTCTTTATGAATTTTAGATAAACTCTGTCCAACAGAAATATTATGTGAGCACATAGTGTATTATTAAATGTCCTGATAGTCACAGAAAATAACATTTAAAATCAAGTGAAGATAATTTTATTAATACATTTTACTTAGCCAAATATATAAATATATGATCATTTCAACATGTAATAAATACAAACCATAACAATGAACTATTTAAATGTTGTGTTAAGACTTTAAAGTTTAGTGTGTATTTCATACTTGCAGCATTTTTTAATTCAGAGAAGATACCTGTCAGGAGCTCAATAATTACATGTGGCTGGTGGCTGCCATATTGGATGATGAGCTCTAGATAAAAGTCCTCTGTCAGATGTAAGTTCCCAGATTGTGCTTTGCATGCATATTTTCAGAACAGTGTCATTTGAAGAGCAAAACTTCAATTTATTGATATTTTTCGTTTTTAGTGTCCTATTTATGAAATCTTTACTCAACTTAGTCACTAAGATTTTCTCCCAGTTTTCCCCAGGAGTTTAACTGTTTTTGCTCTAATTCTAGGTCTGTGATAATTTTTGAGTTAGAACTGGTTCCAGTTGTGAGTTAAAGGTTTAAGTTTAGTTTTCTTTTATTTTTTCCTGATTATCCAATAGTTCTGCCACCAATTGACTTTTTTATAACTTTGTTAAAAATCAATCAGCTCTACCTGCATGGGTTTATTTCTGAATTCTTTTATTTTCTTTTAATTTTTATAATTAGTTATACATGACAGTAGAATACATTTTGACACATAATACATAAATGGAGTATAACTTCTCATTTTTCTGGTTATACATTACATAGAATCACACTGGTCATGTAATCATATATGCACATAATGAATTAATGTCTGATTCATTCTACTTTCCTTCTTATCCCCATAACCCCTCCCCTCCCTTCACACCCCTCTTTCTAATCCAAAGTACCACTATTCTTCCCTAGTCCTGCCTTCTTACTGTGAGTCAGCATCTGCATATTAGACAAAACATTTAGCCCTTGGTTTTTTGGGATTGGCTTATTTTACTTGATATTCTGCAATGCCACCGATTTACTGGAAAATTCCATAATTTTATTCTTCTTTAAGGATGAGTAAAATTCCATTGTGTATTATTTCTTAATTCTTTTCTGACACATTGTTCTCTATACCTTTTACACCAATAATATTCTGCCTTTATTAAATAGCTTTATTATAAATTGTGAAGTTAGGTATCTTAAGTCAAAAAAAACTTGTCTGTTTTTCAAAGTTAATTTGTTATTATAGGGCATTTTTATTTTCATATAAATTTGAGTATCAATTTGCCAAATTCTACAAAAACATCAGCTGGGATTTTGATTGGAATTGCTTTGAAACTTCAAATCAATTGAAAAAAAATGAACACTGTAATAAAACTGGGCTTTCTCACCCAAGATTAAAGGATATCTCTCAAATTTATTTAGGTTTTTAATGTCTCTCACCAATGTTTTCAAGTATTTATTATGCAGATATTACAAATTTTTATTCAAAGTTTATTGTAAGCATTTTGTATTTCAATATTATTTTAAATATTCTTTTCATTTTTCAATTCCTAATTTACATTACTACAATAGAAATACAACTGATTTTGTGTATAAACCTAATATCCTATAAACTTGTTAAACTTGCCTCCTAGTTCTAATTTTTTTTTAGCATATTCTGTAAGATATTTTATATAGACAACTATGTCTTCTGAAAATAACGATAGTTTAGATTATTTTTCTACTGGCTGATGACACAGGCTGGAACCTCTGATAAAATGTTCAACATTAGTGTTAAAATTGGATATTTTCTTGTTTTTCCAAAGTTTAGAGGGGAATCTAATCTTTCACTATTTTGTTTGATATTAGCTGTAGGATATATGACATAATTTGAATTTTAAATGTTAAATTAATCTTGCATTTTTGGGAGAAATACCATTTATATTATTAGAATGGATTTGGTAAGATATTAAGATTTTGGCATCTACATTCATGGGGGATATTGGTCTGTAATTTTTTTGCAACATTTTTGGTTTCAGGATGCCATTGTTTTAATATGTTGCCTCCATAATTCAGCTGCCGCTAATGTGATGTTATTAACAGATGGGACCTGGAGGGTGGTTAAGACATGGGGGCTTCTCCCTTTTGAAATAGGATTAAGGCCCTTACCAGAGGTGCCTCGCCAAGCACTTGATTTACCTTGTCCTTCTGCTTTCCACCATGTGAGGACATAGCACTCCTTTCCTCCAGAGGATGCAGCTCACTAGACAATTCAGACTGTCAGAGTCTGCCTTAATTGTGGGTTTCTTGGCCTCCAGAACAGTGAGGAATACATTTCTCTCTTTTATCATTAGCCTGTCTTCTTATGTTATACCAGCACAAATCAGTTAGGACACCATATTGCTTACCTCCCATAATGCCTTGGGAAATATTCCCTATTTATTTCTAAATAAATATTCTCTATTCTGGAGAATAGAGGTTTTACAAACCTCTTCAGGGTTTGTAAAAATTAGGTAGACTTGATATTATTTGCCTTCATTTATAGTCAATAGAATCCCTTTAGGAAGCCATCTGGGTCTGGGGTTTTTCATTGTACGAAAGTTTTGAAAATTCATTTCATTTAGTAGATGTTGGTAATGTCTTTTGAGCAATTCATTCATTTCATTTGAGTTGTTGAATTTATTGGCATAAATTATTTGCTACACTCACTCTCATGATCTTTTTTATACCTGCAATAGCTATCATAATGTTCCCTCCCATCACTCTGGATGTTGTTAAGTTGTATACTTATACTGATCAATCTGGCTAAAACTTTTATCGATTTTTTAATCTTCTCAAAGAACAGACTTTGTTTCATTTTTTTTCTGTTAGTTTTTGGGGTCCCCCCTTTCTGTTCTTAATTACTTCTCTTTTCTGCTCTCCTTTTTCTGTTTAACTTCCTCATATTTTTCTAGTTTCTTAAGTAGAATCTTTTTCTTTCCTACTAGAGATGTCCAGTGTTGTACATTTCTAAGTTGGGCATCCCATAAATTTTAATGGATCATGTTTTCATTTTCATTTCTTTAACTCCAAAATACTTTAAATTTCTCTTTTGGTTTTTTCCTTTGACCTGTGTGTGACATCTTCTTTTATTGATTGTGATTTTGGTGTTGTAGCTAAAAAAAAAAATCATTTTTTTTTTATACTTAGGTTTATGAGGATATCCCTATAGATGTACATGACCTTCCAACAATCATGGTGGTTCTTTCTCTGCCTCAAGTAGTTTCTTCTGGCTTGTGTGGAGTTTCAAATAATCTTTCTGCCTAGCTTTCCCCTTCTCTGTAGCTCTCTTTCCTTCAGTACTCTTCCTCCCCAATTTCTTAACTGTGTCACTTCAACTCAGGCTCTGTTTTGGTGTGCCCTCCCTGTAGGTAGGCAACCTGGAAATTCTTTTCAGGTGCCACGCTGGGGTAGTCATAACCTTTACCTTGTCTATTTCCTTTATATGTGACTCCTGTGCTGTATTGACTGTTGACAGAAAACAGCTGAAAAAATCATTCTTTCATGTATTTCAGTCCCTTTCATCATTACATAAGGCAGGAGGCTTATACTAGTCTCTGTTAGCCCTTAGGCTGAAAATAGAATTTTCCACTAGATTCTTTCACATTTATAATAATAATAATAATAATAATAATAATAATAATAATAATAATAATAAATTGTACACTATAACTTTTCTCCACTAAATTTCATTGTCTTTTGCATATACAATGGTAATTCCCAAAGGGATCATGTAGATAGTCTTTTCTCAAAATGCCTTTTCTTCCAATCATCTGCTTAATTCATCCTTAGATCACAACATGGTCCTCAGTTCTTCACTGGGACTATGACTTAAGTTTCTCTGACTTAAGTTGTCAAATTATGTTATACTCTCATAAGATATCTTCATGATATTTACCTCATTTCTAACTTTACACTCATTTGTATAAGTATTTGATGTGCATCTGCTCCTCCTCTAGACTCTAATGAGCATCTCTCTTTGCTTATGGTTTTCTACAAACTTCCCAACACGTAGTAGGCGTTTATCAAATATTTGCAGGACAGAAGGATGAACTGATGTTACTTCTGTATTTATCTTCTGTACCAAGTTTCATTATTTCCCATTCTTCCTTTCATATATACTGCACAAATAAGTAACCATGGCTTTTCTCCTCTAAAATTGAATTTTCTGCATCTCATCAAAGTAAGACTATCAAAAGGACAACAGTTTATCAAATTGCAACAACATTCACTATTCAGAGACAAATAACTTTGAATCTTATTATTAAATAAACTACTGATAGGAGACTTCTGCAATGAGTTAGTGTTCCTAAGCTGCCATTTGCTCACCACAGATGCAATAAAGCACAACTTGGCACAATCAGTCAGACAGAAACTGACTCATGAGGGAGATCAGATTTCCTTCCT